GGTATGTTCATTATCTCAACAGGATACTTCCACAAGATTTATAATAAAGAATAAAATTGGAGAACACATGAATAGCTATGACACTATGAGAAGGCATGACTTTTGTGAGTGCAAATCACACCTCACATACCTACTTCAACTCAGAGGAGCAGCATAAAGGGATACAGGAAATCCTGTCTACCTAGAATTCCAAAGAAATTTCAGTCCACTGCTGAAGGTATTTTAGGAATTCAAAGTGGCCACAGAATAAGACTGCATGGCTATCTGGGGAGTTGATTAAATAATAGAAAATTCAGAGTTGCAGTAAATGGTCAATATGCATGTATGATTATAGAGAGTACAGAGTGTATATAGATATACATCTATACAAATGCTGCACAGGTCCCAAGATGCAGTGTAAGTGCAATTCTGAGTTTAACTCTGATGGCCTGAGTGCTACAGCCCAACAATTTGCTGTGACATGGCTTCAGCCTTCTGTAGGTATCTGCTTCTACAAAGGTGATTCTTCATGGCCCCACTTTTCCTGGACAGCCTAAGCCAAGGTCTCTGCCATGACATTTTTGCCCCTAATGTTGAATTTTGCCCCTCATTGGTGTTCCTTGTATTTATCATAGAAGAGGCCCATCTCCTGAATTTGAACATTTGATGTCAAAGCCAGCTTTCTCCATGAACCCATCCACATGTTCTGCACCCCCCTTGGGATGCAGAGAGGGCTGCACTGCACTGCAGTGGTTAATGCATCCACTGCCCTGGGCAAATGGGGTCAGTCAGGCTGCACGTCTCTGGCTGCATGCCATGGACTGACTGAGCTGGCATTTAAGTTTTAGTCAGAGGGTGAACAAATTTCATCATTGTTTAAATTTCCCTGCTTGGAATTCCTACTTGATAATCCAGTCTTTTCATGACTCCTTCTACACAGACAATATGTTAAATGTTCCATTATCACGGTGGTACAAACAAACAAAATTTTTTTTTTCCTTATGATTATGTAAATATTTGAAATATGTATATGTATATTTCAATGAGGTAAAGTCTAGGTAAAGAAAAAGCATCATGTCAAGATAATATAAGCCTAAATTAATTCTCAAAGGACTATAAAATTCCACACCATTGGTGGTGCTAACACTAATAGCTAGGACTGGCAACATACTAATCACTTTGGCTCTAGAAGACCAGGCTGGTATTTTAATCACACAAACGCTAATTGCCTGGCCTTGCTGGCATTAAAATTGTTATGGCACTAATAGCCTGGGCAAGACGGTATTTTAATCATCCTGGATCACAGCCTAGAAATGTTAATTTATAACATTTTTGTCTTTTTATCTAGGTTAACAAGAGGTCTACCGCAGATATGATCAGTTACAAAATGCAGAAATCGTAATTTCAACCTCAAACAGAAGAAAATCAGGTGTCTCGGCACTACAATACTGGAGAATTTTCAGTTAGGTTATCTCTTCCTCGTATTTTGTCTTTTTTTAAAACTTTTTCCTTGCAGCAGCTTTAAACCACACCTGAGGCACTTAAAACAGCTGAAGAAGGTTGTGCTGAAGAGTTGCTGTTCCAAATATTACAGTGATCTTACTACAAGATCCATCTAATGCAGTTCCATATATTTAACCTTAGATGATTAAAACCCTGCCACTATTGTTGACATTTAAAAAATTATTTCAGATTGTCAACAATTCAGATTATCTTCAAATGTCACTGATTAGATATTTGTTATACATTCACCAGCTTCAAAGACTCCACTTAATCTTTGCTCTTACATTGTGCAGGTCTCTTATACATGGATTTTGTAGGAAGGTTTTATGGCTAAATTTTCCTTTCATTTCCTTTAATTGGAGGCTGGCTATGCTGGGGGCTGGGGAGAAGAATTAAACAGAAAATTGCCAGTCCTTCTCCTACAGCTGAGGAGTGTGTTCTTGCAATGCCTGGGAAAATTCAATAAAATTGTGGAGGAAATAGAGCTCACTCTAAAAATTAATCTTGGTTAAGATTTTTCATTTTGTTTTTTATTTCTCAGAGTGGTTGGGTCAGCTCTTCTGAGATTTTCCACAGTTAAAGCTATCAGAGCACTCTTGTACCTTCTGAACTGGGTCTGTCACCTAGATGCCACTTGAGGAAGATTTCAGCTCCTCTCATTACAGGGGTGGCTGTGGGCTGCATCTGGATGATGAAACCATTTGTTTGTACTGGAATGTGACAGTATGCCCTGTATGTGGCAGTGTGAGTGAGGTGGTCTTGGCTGCCTCCAGCCCAGTGCTGCCCAGTAGGAACCCAGCCCTCCCCATTCTGCCACTGCCACAGTGAATGCCAAGAGGCATCAGGGGATGTCTTTGTGCCTCTCCCTTCATGGACAAGGGAGAAGCTGCTGATGCTGAGGTGGTGTCCCATTTGAGGAGGAGGGAAGTGAAATTAAAGAGGAAGAGAAATAAGAAAAATGTTTCTGACTGAAAGAGGAGTCAAGTGAACTTTACAAGGTATCAGCTTTGCAGGTCACCAATTTGAGTAGCTGGCTGGCTGCACTTCACCCATGTCAGCACCAATAAAAGTCATACCAAACTCAGCAGCAGCAGAAATGAACCTTCTAATTTTGCTTGATTTTCACAGCTGGGATGCTGAATGCATCAATCAAATACTTATTTTTGCCTTTGTTTTAAATTGTCCCTGGAGGGGAAATTTGCCCTTCACCTGCTTCCCACGTGGGAAGCCCAGCTGCTTTTTCAGGCTCAGTTTTCAGACACAGGGCTGCCCTCAGCTGACATTCTTCTGTAAGAAGATTGCTAATAATGCTACTCGTTCATAATCTATTTTCACTCTAGGAATGGAATTTCAAAGGAGGGCTCTTTATGCCTGCTGCTTAAAAAGGATTTGAGCACTTTGGGAGAGAGTGCTTTTGAAGCATTTTTATTTCGACGTCCTCTCCCCCATTGCCTCCTATCCTTGCAATGCGTCCTGTGTCATCTGTGGCTTCATTCCCACCCCCCATATGGATTTTTTTCCTGCATTCAGAATGTGACATTGATAAACAGGGCTGGTGCCATGCTACTGGCCTCTGTGGCCAGCATGGCCACGGGCAGTTGCAGCTGACACACGTGCCCTGCTCAGAAAGGTCGTTCTCAGAGTGCCACTGCTTTGGGGCCAATCCTTCTGGCAGTGAAACTTAGGAGCAACACGACAGCTGTGTGAGATCATTGTGCTGCAGGAGCTTATCCAGTGGGGCAATGTTTTGGAGACTGGCACTACATGTTTTCCTGGCTAAACAGTCTGCTCTGCCTGGTTACAATGTCCTTTTGTTTACTTGAACTCAGACAGGATTTCTTACTGTTTCTGTGATTAAAGCTGAGATGTGATGACCAGAAAAATGTGTTTTCCTTGATCTCTATGCAACAAAAAGCAATATTGTAGGGACAGTGTTTTTGCTTACTTATGCTCAGTTCCTCTTGACCTTTCATGATCAGGATTCCAAATATAAAGATGTTGTCCTCTTCTGGTAGATTGCTTCTGAAAACACAACTTCACTTACTATCAGAGGTACTTTAATATGGAGAAGACTTCTTTTCCTTGGAGGAGTAATATTTTCTTTTATACAATGCAGCAGTAGCCTCTTAGTATTTGCAATGTTATTTTAACCTTCAACATGACAGAAGCCAGCCTTGGCTCCTTGGCAGGAAAGCAGGCTTTTTCTAACCAAAAGCAGCAGAGGTGTAGTAAAGTCCAGGAGTGTCTGAGGAGGAGACCTCTGTCTGTACAAAGCTGAATTAGCACTTTGTGTTTGTTTTTTTCTGCCTCTGCTGATGTTACCCTGTAGAGCAGCTATTTCTAGACCATCACCTGTGAAGCTCAGGACTGCAGATGGAAAAGAGAGCTCCAGACTCAGGAAAAATCCCTAATCTCATCCTTTCAGCCAGTCCTGAAGCTCTTGTGAAGTGCTGTGTTAGTCCAGCATTTTAAATGAAGTGTTGGAATGATGTGTTTCTGTCAGTAGGCTACTGGATCAAGGGGAGGGACAGCATTCTACACTTGCATGGGGAATTCAAAGAAACACAACTGGTGAGATTAGAAGGGCTCTCAAAGGGAAGGTTTCTTGGTTTTCCTGGAGGCCAACCTGACAAGTTAACATGAGTGATCAAGGCGAGAGAATGAAAAATCTTAGAAATGCCTCAAATGCTGAGATCTGCTTTATGCAGTTGATAACATGAATAGGAATATGAATGTAAAATTAATGAGGAGATGAGTTTAAAAATGTGGAAGTTCTAACAGCTACCTGTGCCAGCTTAAAAAATGAAACCAAGCTTGGGATGCTACTGGTAGCCCACAGACTTCTGACTTTTGATGTAATCAGCACTGACAAAATTAATTAATTAACATGGTATCCTTAAATTATAAAATTAATTTAAGGATACCATGTTAGCAAAACAGAGGCAAAACAGTAAAGATATTTGCTAAAACTGCTATACAGACAGAAGTTTTAAGAGAGAACTTCTTCAAATTGTGAACATTTAAATGTAAACACTCTTTGCCACAGAAGGAGAGTGGAAGAGTGAAATAAATAAGCAGAAAAAATATTATTTCTATTGTATAAGCTGAAAAAATGAAAAAAGTGAAAAAGTAAAGCAGCAAAATGTCAAGAAAAATTGGAATTAAACAGAACCAATCACAAAGTTTGATCTGTTACAGGAATCAGTTCAAATACTTGTTACACCTTGAGTTACATCCCTTAAAATGGTATTATTTTGGCCTTCTGTCTTGGTATCCTTCCACATCTGTTTGACTGGTCCATGCCTGGAGCTTGTATTGTTCTCCTGAAACCTGAGGTTAGTCAGGACCATATCTCTTTAAAAAAAGCCCCACACAGACAAAGAAAGAAAAAACCCAGGCTGGGAAGGGGGAGCTAAAGCCTCTGCTGCATTGGGCTGTTTGGATACATCGGCTGCAGCAGTGGTCACGCATCCCTCCGCAGCCTGCTGATTTTGCAAAAGAGGGGGCAAAGGATCATTTTGCAGCCCAGATGCTGCCAAACACAAGCAATCAATGGAAGGAATGGCACAATGAGCAGACAAGCATGTGGAAGCAGCTTATGAAGAAATAGTTAAATGCCGAGCTTTGTCCCAGCTGATGCCGTGATGTAAGTACGAGCTCGACAGCAGATCCTGTGGTCACTGCAGTTGTTTGTGGGAGATGTTTTATGGGTATCCTGATGCTTTTAGCACTTACAGCTGGAGAAAGCATTAACTGTGACTCATTTCATCGTGTATTTAAGCAAATAACTGTATTGTCTCTGCCTGCAGGGTTTTTGAGTGATTCACAGGCTGCAGTGTGTTGGTAGGGTGGGTGAAGAGCAGGACTGTGCACATGAGCTTATGCTCCTTTCCTGATGGCTTATCTGGGCTCTGCTCTATAGATGTGCTGGCAGATTGCTGCAGCACCACCCTCCCTGTGCAGAGGCCTCTTGCTGAATTTCAGCTCTGCCTTCAAGCACAGGGATGCACAATGCATTTTTTCACACTGCCTAGAATTATTTGCTATACAAACTTACTTCATGCCAAGCACTTTATTTTAATTTTTTTCTCATGTATGCAGTTGAAAGAAAGCTTATGAAATTTCAATGGCTCTGTGTGTTACTATCAGGAGACTAGCTCTTAACATAGCTCTCCCAAAGAGACTTTCAAGTATGATTTATTACTCGAAGGAATGTACACTTTCCTATCTTTGGACTGTTGCTAGCTGAAGTAGATGTATATATTTTTAAATATAAGCCTTTTTCTTACAGAAATCCAATGTCTTTCTCTTTCCCAAATGATTTGCTGCTTTTTATTTTGCATATGCCCTAATGATCTAGTAATGATCCTGCTTTAAAAACAAGAGAAAAAGCAGGGCTAGGGCAACTTTACTGCACTGCATTTCTCAGCAATTTTTTTGGAAATCAGATAAAATTTTTTATTGTAGGCAAAACTACACATATCAGCAGAGCGAAAGAAATGCAAGTAGTGAGTATTTCCTTGTTATTTCATGAGAATATTAATTTTGCTTTCACCTAAGTACTGCATAAAGCTGTGGTGATTTGCTCTAAGCCAGAGAATATCATCTATCTATTGGATGTCCTCTGTGGCTGCACCTTGGTGCTTAATGCAGCTCCTGCAGAAACTGCCGGGAGATCTCCCTCCAGCGTCGGTGTCGGGGAGGTGACAGCGGGGTGATGGTGACGAGCAGCCTGTGTGGGCCTGCTCAGGAGGGTGGGCAGCTGTTGCAAGGAGGAGCCTTCTTTTGTGCATCTCTTTTGGGCCCTGGCAGAGCTGCAGCTCCTGATGCTGGGGGCTGCAAGGTAATGCACTTCTGCCCCACCACACTGATCACCTCGGTGGGGATGTAGGAGCTTCCCCTCCACCAAGGAAACCAGAGGGAAATTTTACCATCATTGCTTTGGAAGTTGCCCTCACCTTGTATTCCCAGAGGTATAAGAGCTCCATCAGCTGTCTATTTGCAAAACAACTTCTTATTGCTTGCTATCAGAAACTGAATTATAAGAAGCCAAATTCATCCCTTAATGAGCTTATAGCAAATTACTGTTACCTAGGGAGTGCTCTGGCAGTGATTGTGAATGCTGAGGCTTGGTATTGTCAGTGTTCATCCTTGTCCCTTCCTCCTCTGTGTCAGGATTGTCACCCTCTCAACACCAAACAGAATTTCTGGTTGGAAACAGGATTTCCAAAGATTAAAAAAGTAATCATTTGCAAGAATACAAAAATTTAAAAAAACCCCTCAGTCCTACATAGAAAAGTTCTGTTCACCTACTGAAAATGTGCAGGACTATTGGATAAAATAGTTTTACAGGCTGCTTACTGTTGTGTAAAGACAGTGGGAAAAATTCAGCTCCTGTGTACTTCTATTGTTTTCAGCAGAATTACACTGGGGTGAGTTTGGTGCTTCTGGGGCCAACTCAAAAACCTTTTGTTTCTCTGTCCTTCTTTCTTGATTGTTTTCCTGTTTCTTAGATGGGAGTTTTTTATGACCTCCGAGGCAACAGGCACAGATTTATAAAGTATAATACAGAGGACCTAGATTCTCTGGTTTGGACCATATTTTCTTTCCGTTAATGGAAGCACAACGGCTTCCAGAAAAAACCTGATATATCACATTTCTAAAACTAGCCCATGTTCACTGACTTCAAATTTTTGGGGGCCCTTGGATCCTGCTCTCAAAAGCAGAGTTTCTAAAATACTGTATTACTTTTTATGTTAAAATATACAAAAGTGTAGGCTTTGAAAGGTAAAACAGCACTTTATTGAAGAGTTTAAACAGTGTCTAGTTGCTCAGTATGTATCAACCCCTGGAATAACACATAGAATTGAAAACGTGCATGTCATATTTTGAAATATTTGATTTTTTGGAAGAGCTAGTCTTTTTTGAAAAAAGTGTTAATTCACTCAGCAATATTTTTTGTTATACACACAATTATTAAGCAATTATTTCTGCCTCAGCTGAGAAATATAACAACTCATACAATTATTTGGTACAGTAGGTTGGCATTTTTCTTCTAAATGTGTATTTAATGGATATATTTGCACTTTAGCAGTCTTGAGCTAAATCTTTAAATGGGATGATCTAGTTCATTAGCATTTTTTGTCTTCTTTTTGATCAGTTTAGCAGAGGATGGTCATTGTTTGAAACTTTTAGCAAGTTGTTGGTTGTGATAGAGGTACACCAGAGCTGTGAGAAAGGAAGGTTTCACATTGTCTGTGAAGACCTTCATGTGTTCATGTGCAAAAAAATGTGTGGCCATGAAGATCAGACTAGAAATAAATGAAGCTTAGTTGTCTTCCCTAAAATTACCTGTAGAAACTTTCTCCACCCAGGTGAACCCAAAATAAGGCATTATTTCTGATGGGTGATGATAATGCTCATGAGAGAATGGGGCAGGTGTTTTGATCTCCTCTGGTGACCTCACAGGAGGGCATGAATGTGCCTCAGGCCCCTCTCAGTGGTGAGGTTTGGTTTCTTTTTTCTTACAGGAGAATGTTACAGCTGGCTGCATATACCAATCACCACCTATTTCAGATATGACAGCTGGTGGAAAATAGCAAAAGTCACTCTGGTTTCCCATGAGGGAAACAATGTTAGTGTTTCAATTGCTGTTTGGGATAGAGTTAATTTTCTTCCTGGTAGCTGGCACAGTGCTGTGTTTTGGATTTAGTATGAGAATGATGTTGATAACACACTGATGTAGTTGTTGCTAAGTAGTGCCTGCTCTAAATCAAGGACATTTCAGTTTCCCTTGCTCTGCCAACAAGGAGGTGCACTGGAAGCTGGGAGGCAGCACAAAGCAAGGACAGCTGAGCCAAACTAGCCAAAAGGATATTCCTTACCACAGAATGTCATGTGCAGTATATAAGCTGGTGGCAGGGGCTGGTTGCTGCTGCCCAGGGATGGGCTGGGCAATTGTCAGCAACTGTGTTGTGCATCACTTGTTTCACTTGGGTTTTGTTTCTGTCTCTCTTTTTGTTGTATTCCTTTGCACGAACATTATTGTTATTATTGTAATTGCTATTGTTATTGCTGTTTAATTACATTTTTTAACCTATTTGCATCTCAACCAATGGGTTTCACCTTTCTGATTCTCCTCCTCATCCCACTGGGGGAAGATGGGTGAGCAAAGCATTTGTGAGGTACTAAATTGCCAGCTGGGATTAAACCACCACACAATTTTAGTTAAAGCTTCAGTGAAGCAAAAGGAACAGCTTGTACTTTTTCTCGTTTTAGGAGAGGATAATTTACCTATCTCTTTGTTAGTCATATATGATGCAATGTGGAGCTCTGCAGAGGTAACAGCAAAATTATTGTCAGTTTTTAAATGATGTAAACTGAGATCCTGGGGAATGTGATAGTTCCTTCAGAGTGGTCTGATGCTCTTTACAAGAAAACACCCGCTGTTGTCAAATCCTGCCCCATAAAACCATTCACACAGTAAGAAAGAAATTGCTAATGTCAGATGTCTGGAGACCTGCTGGGAGAGAAGGGGAATTTCAGGATTGTGCCCTCAATCCTTGTGTGTCCTACCTGCATTTTCCCCATGAAATGCCTCCTGTAAACCTTCCCCTTCCTTCTCAAATTCCTCCCTCCATATTATTGTTTGTCTTCATACCAGGACAATTCCTACACAAACCACCACTTCTGACCAGCTCCCATGAGGTTTTTTGTAACAGCAGTGTCCCCAGCCTGCCCCAATGCTATGGCAGCACCTTGCATTTCTCCTACTCTCCAGGCCACAGATGTACTGCTAAATAAGAGGTAGGGAACTAAATTCTGCTCATGTCCTTAGCTCTGTGTGCTCAGAGGTGCAGCCAAGCTCCTGCCCGCATGTTCTGAGCCAGGCTTTCTGTCTAGTCTCTCTGTCTCTCCATGTGCAGGAGAGAGAGCAAGATGTGCACTGGAGGATGATTTTTGCACTATAGAGTGATGTAGAGCCTCATTCCAGGTGCCAGCAGTTTTCAGCTCACTACCTTCATGCTCGTATTGCACTGGTGTTGGAAATGCTTCCCTGGATCTTGGCATTGGCTTGTGTTTCCCCACCCTGTGCCAGTCAGGATCTCAGCCTAATGCTATGGACCCACCACAGTGAAGCAGATTTAAGAGCTGAAGAACTTAAATTATTTAAATTGATATCTGGTTTGTTTTGGTTACTCCTGCCAATGGTAAAAACATCTTTTTGACTCATGCTTGTTGTTTGATGTTTATGCAATGTACGTATATGGACACAGAGACATCCCTCAAACAGCAGTAATGGTGTGGAAAGCTCATCCCTTTAGGACCTACACAATCATATACAATAATCTATTTAGTTGTGTAGGTTAGCAAGCCCTTCCCTACCACAGAAAAATGGATATGAGATTTTTCGTATCTTGTGTGAGAGATCCATAAAGATGGATTTATTGCAGTTTCTCCTTAGCTGTGACAAGGATGATGTCAGATAAGTTGTGCATGCCCCGTTTTATAAATAAAAAATGAGAAGGAGCCTGTCTCCTCTTCAGCTAATGGATTAATGTTACAGCTGGATGAAAAAGCCACCAGCTTAATTTGTGGAACATAATGGAGGAACAAAATTGCTTAGACTCCCTTAAGTGTATTTAT